CATCTCTCATCAGCGACGACCCCGGTCAACATTGACGAGGTTAAAAACGCCGTCATAAATGTTCGGCGAAAAAAAAGCAGGACAATAAGCCAACAAGATAGCAGCATACTGGCATATTATTTCGTTATAATTTGTTCAGCGGCGAGCTGTTGAAGTTTTGATGATACACGGCCGTCCGGCGGACAGGCGGCAAGGGCGGTCGAGACAATAACAGACAAGCATGCCGGACACAACGAAGGCGACTCGCCGGGTCGATCATCGGGGAGGCCGCGAGGTCCCGTCGATATGGACGGTGGACACTGTCGCCAGGTCACGGCCCGGCTCGCCGGCTCGGAGCCGGGAGCGTCAGGAGCCGAACAGGGACACGGAAAAAAAAGACTTTGTTGTGGGGGGATCAGATTTGCTTGGTAGGCTAAATTCAATAGATGGAATCGAGGATCCGATACTCAAAAGCAGGAGTTGGTTGTCACGACTGGACACTTGTACGAATACAACCAAGCTGGAGTTTGTTCTATTAGTACAAGTGTCCGGTCGTAGCAACCAACTCCTAGTTTTGTGTATCGGATTCTCGATTCCAGATATCGAATTTGGCCTACCAAGCATAATTGATCCTCACAACCATGTCATATTTTTCAGTGGAGCCATAACACGGAGCACGTCAAAAACTTATTGAACACCCAATCAAATACATACGCCAAATACTTGGGGAAATGTATCTTAAAGTTTGCAGTATTTTTGTGATTCACGATTTCAAAACGAAACTGTAAATTTGCGACCAGTAAATTATAGTTTATGGCAGCTTCTAAAATGGATTAATTTTGATGCGCGAAGAATACCAAGTCAATAAACGGTGTATCAATGATTTTGTGGTGCATAACATTCCACTTAGAAAATGTTCCCGTAAAATCTACGAATACTTATCCCAGTGTGAGCTGTACGGTACGAGCGTTACGGAGTGAGAAGAGAATAGGGTGTGCAGCACGGGGTGAGACAGGGTAAGCACAGCAAGCGCTGAGCTGCTCAGGGTGAGCAGTGCAAGAGGTGAGCTGGGGTGAGCTGGGGTGAGCTGCTCAGGGTGAAGTGAGCAGGGGATGAACTGCTCAGGGTGAGCAGCGTAAGGGGTGAGCTGCTCAGGGGAGCAGAGCGAGGATGAGCAGCACGGGGTGAGCAGTAGCGACCGGAGCGGAGGGGCGAGAAGGCGCGACCCCCTCCGACCCTTCCCTTATTGCCTTTTAATGACCTTTGGACGGCCGCGACGTCCACAGCACGAACGAAATGAGGCACGAAGATACAAAAAGAAAATGGAAGGAAAGCGCCTCTTCAGCCGAAGAGAAGAAGCGAGTGAGATGAAGAGGGGGATAACGGGGAGCGGGGGTAGTTTCGAAAATAAATAACTTTGTCGAGAACCTGGACATATGGTAGCAAAGAATGGGGGGAGGGGTCGTAATCGACTAACTCTCTCTCTCTCTCTCTCTCTCTCTCTCTCTCTCTCTCTCTCTCTCTCTCTCTCCAGTCCTTGGAAAAGTGGACTGCGATGGAGTTAGACGGCACTGAGTGTGACAGAGACATACGCCCACTTTTTGTCAGGAGTGACAAACTAGGGTGCCCCTCCACGCAGATTATGGGTCGCCGACGACGATTGAGGTGTCGTTGTGATGACACCCAGCTGACGAAATGATTGGCTATTGGCAACCAACCTCAGGTTGCGACAACAATCACCATGTGTGGCGAAAACCATAACTGCGTGTTCCTCAAGACAATGGGATGAGACGGGTGTATCGACCATATCTTATGGTTCTTCCTGCGCCAAACATGCGACTGTTGGCAAAGCTGATGATTTTTCTGGGTGAAGGCGCATAGACTTAGTACAATCCCAACAATGTAAATGCTAGAGACAGATATCTGAACACTGAGCTAGAGAGCAAGAAGTGACAAAAAATATCGCTCACGAAATTTCAGGCATAATTTACGCTCCTCACCTCTCAGAAATTGGGCGAGGACAGCGGGAAAATTACCTTAGAGCGAGAATTCTTTGTGTAGATGAATCAAAAAGGGCGAGCCTCAAGTTTTCTCTTTGATAGGGCGTGGCAAAATTTGTCTCACCCATTTCGAGCACGAAACCTTTAGCCCAGGGTTTTGCGGTGAGCGTCGGCGCGAAGGGCGAACAAATTGGTTATGCGGCATGATGTCGTTGTTTTGACTGAGAACCCAGAGCTCTAAACTAGTTTGGAAGGCTGCTCCTGGTCCCGGCACTCCCCACGAGTAGCGGCCCGTCAGAACCGTAATCACTTGTTTGTTTACCCGAGCGGGCCGGGCTGGGCCGGGCCCCACAGCGCCTCAGAGTGCGAAGGGGCGCCGACAACTTAAACTGCAAGAGGATGAGGAGAGGGAGCTAGCAAGGCGGGGGAAAAAAAAGAGACAAGCCTAATCCAGGGGGAAAATTCCAATTTCGACGAACACTTAAGGATATAGCGTAGCATATGCAATTACATCATTTTTCCCATGTGAATCAGAGAGAGAGGG